AAATATATCCTCTTAGACAAATGTAGTTCTTAAAAGATAAGAATAAATTTTGTTAAATAAATATATAACATCTATTTTTAATTACTGATACTATTTAAATATTATAAATTATAAGAAAATTTTGATTTAATAATCACTAAAATGATTTAAATTTAAATTTCTACCTCTTACGGAGCAAGAAATATGACCTAATAAAAATACATCTAATATACAAATTTTTAAAACCGTATCTCAAAATTATATTAAATATATAGTATATATAGAAATATATATTCTTAAACCATAATTTTTATTGCACAATATTAAATGAGCCCACACAAAAAAGTACAGTAAAATCGAAGATAATAAGGTCAAAAACCATCATGTTTTTAAAAGAATAATCAATATTTACTTTTTAAAAAAAGTTATAGATAATTAGCTTTCGAAAAAATAAACTATTTAACTTTTTATTTCAAAGTTTAAAGAGTAAAAGACAAGTTTCAAATTATTATGATATAAAAATAAAACTTTTTAGCAGAAATAAGTGAACAATTTTATTTCTAGTCCTTCTAGAACCCTGTCTTCATTTTAATTACAGTATTATGAAACTAATACTTTAATTTCTTATTTAATTAGCTCCCATACCCTGTAACCGGCTGACCATCCAACGTATACTACTACATAGATGCCACTATCTCGTACGTGCCTTCTCTAATCTCGTACATTAAGTGAGATTATTTCAATTAAGAAACAACCAATTCATATATTTTTTTTTTCCGAATGCATCTCCAATTACTCCTTTTTCTACGTAACATAGAGACCAAACATTTCATGAACGTTTTCAATAATACTTCATTATTATGTGTTAAACTCCAAACTTGGGTAATTAATCAATAGATTAATTATCTCGTAAGTGCCTTCTCTAGTCTCGTACATTAAGTGAGATTATTTCAATCAAGAAACAGTCAATTCATATATTTTTTTTCTCCGATTACTCTTTTTACTCAATTACTCTTTTTTCTACGTAACATAGAGACCAAACATTTCATGAATATTTTTTTTCTTCGAATGTTTTCAATAATACTTCATTATTATGTGTTAAACTCCAAGCTTGGGTAACTAATAAATAGAGTGGGAATTATGTCGGTCGGGTGAGAACTCTGCAAATGCCTACAGTTTAATAATGTACACTCCTATATAACATATGTTATAAGTATTCCTTATTATAAAAATGTTATATCTATTGACACAAAATCTATTTGATCTAGTATGAACTTTATAAATAACATTTGAAACATGAGCAATATCTTCGATCTGAACGTTTTTGCTTTACGTCTAACCCACTTTTACAGCCAGATGTTATCTCAAATTTGTCGAGTTGGCTAGAACTTTTCTGAAAACATTAGACGTAACAAATATAGATTTTTCCACGGAATTCCGCTTACAAAATTAGACTTCTCATTTCTTGTAAGTATGATATTACTTACAAGAAAATCAAAAATTACAAAAGATACGAATATTAAGTTGATTCATGCCACAGTTTCAGGTACTATCAACCCACAATTGGTTCTGTTTTATCTCCCAAAAAAAAAAAAAATTAAAATACTTTTTAACAAATACAAATGTAAGTACCGATGTTTCCGTTCGATTTAAAGTATACAGTCAAAATTTATTGTTTCGAACGTCTAAAAATAGCAAATAAACTGCAGGAAAATCTAAACAAAACAATAACAAATCAAGAAAAAGCTGCATTAACAATTGAATTTTGAATAAAAAATTACAATAAATGTTAAAATTAAAAAATTATTTATTTTATTCAATTATTTTTTTTTCGATATAAGAGTGGTATGTTGAGCCTTTTCCGAGTTAGTGCATCTGGGCACTTTTACTCTATAATGGCTGAGGGGTTTCTGCAGAGTCTCACCCATCTCACTGACTAATTTGAGTGTTCCTCATAGTCTTCGTGATTATTCAATGATTGATCTAAGATCTCCGTACCGCCCCGTGCGGTTAGTGATTACTCTGAGATTAGATAGTGTTAAGTAGGGCAGCCTGTTGGTTTTTCGCTTCAGAGCTCTGTCCCTTATGTAAGTGTGTATGCTGTAGAAATGCACTAACTTTTAAGAATAACTTTATAATTTTTTTTCCTTTATTCGGTGTCCTCTCCGAATTATTGGTAGAACATTCAGTGTACAAAGGTCTCTAGGTCTAAAGTTGTGAGCTACAACAACATACAGTTGTTTCGAGTATTTCCAAAAACCCATAATCAGTGGTCTTAGAAATAATTCTTGTATTTAATTATTCGTAAATAATTTTTTGAGACTGCAAGTACCAGGAATCAAACTCATGGCCTGCCAAATTTGAAGCTCACAGTCAGCGCTCCTTAACCAACTAACCCAAAGCCATACTTGACTTTTATTTTATTTTAGCTCTGAACTCAATTCTCTATTGCTTTTTCTTATGCTGATTCCAAATTTTCTTTAACATCGCAATCAAGTCACAGTGCCTTCCTAAAAGTAGCAATTTTAATTTCGTCAAAAAAAAAAAACTACAGGCGACCATATTAGGTGAATTCGATGTTTGATCCACTACACTCTGACTTTTTTGCTAAAACCCGATATTTTTCAGACATATTTTTTAAATTATAAATTCCGGATACTTTTTATACAAAATATATATGAACTTTTTTGTTTTTTAAATATATTTGTATTTCAATTTTTAGGAAAATAATATTTAAACAAAAAATCAAATATATTACCTTTTACGTACAAAAAAAAAGTAAAAAGATATTACCTTTTACGTACATTTTAGAAATCATACATTAAGGACACTTTATACCCAACTATAAAATTTTGCAGCCAATTCAAATTTCATAAATTGCTGATTATAGACTCGAATCTCTTTACCGAAATCAAATTTCAGGAACTGATTTCGGCTATTTGCAGTTTCGAGTATGTTAAGGTAATACTCGAAAAATGTTCATATGTCGTATTTCTCTCTTCATTCCTCTAAAATTAAATGCTTACATATTATCATATTCTGCTCAAACACCTTATTGCTAATTACAGTCATAAATACTGTTACAGTGTGAACAGAAATTAAATCTATCTACCAGGATCGAGATTGACTTTTACCTTACGAATAAACTATTTCCCAAACTTCCCAAACTCATATATATTTCAATTTTAGCATAGATATGTTTATTATTTAAGTGTCAAGTCTTCTCACTTTGATATAATTTCCTTCCTTTAATTACTAGAACATAGTTTCTTCATTTGGATTTTTAGGTTCCAACAGCTAAAATAAGTTCTTTTTGCGTTATATTCCATTCGCGCAAGACCTTTCTATTATTTTTTTTATCTATTAATATAGATAAATTTATAGTTTAGAAGTAGAATATAAAATTGAAAATAAAGTCATAAAAGTCAATTAAAATCTTTATATAAATTTTCTTTATTATAGCATATATATAAGAAAGCTGTTCCCAACTAATAGGGACACTTGTTAGCTAAATTTTTGTTCATGACAATTTTGTCAATTTAAATATGGCGACCTAAAATATAACATATAGATCGTAATCGCATACCAATGGAAAATCTTAAAAAAAATATTATTTTTTTGATTTCTGAAGCAATGTTTCACGCAGCTGGGAATAATACACAATCAGCTGAGTTTATTTTAAATGAACATAGAACGTCCTCTACAATATTGTACATCATTGATTTGCTTATAGCGTAAACAAAATCTTGACTAATATTACTTAGAAAAGATCCAGTAGCATAGAAATGTAGTGCTCCCAGTATCCTTATGTATTCAGGGAAACATATATCTTATATAAAGACTCTGCTGAAATGAAATGGTTCCATAAAACACGCTTTTGGCAAATCAAAAGGATCAGCTTTATTTCGGTATTGCTCTCTGATGAATGAACGATATTCCATCTACCATATGCATCATCAGCAGGAAAGTTCATTATTTAGTACATGCAAATATTATTCTAAATATTTAAAATTATTTGAAGGCTAGATATTTATTTTAAATATTAACTTTCTATTTTCTTAGGCCAAACTGCAAACTGACCACCAAACGGTCTATTGATAAATTTTTTTTTTTTTTGAAGCATTTAGACCTTGTTGTCAACGACTGAAACAACAATTGAGTAGAGAATCATCAAAAACTGTAAATAATTCTACTACTACTACTCCATTTTTTGACTAGATTTTTATGAATAAATTTATATTTTCATTTTTGCCTTTATACAATATATGTATATCACTTTATTGAATTTGTCAACATGATCAATTATAACAAGTATTCAATATAGGCCATGTGCGAGTTCGAGTAAATCGAAGTAAAATAAATTAAAATTTCCTACGAATTATTTGCACTGCAGTTATGTAAATATTTATTTATTGTACTTTTTTATTATTTTTGGTTATTTTTAGTTTTCAGTTTTATTTATTTATTTATTAAACATCTTATGAAATTTTCACAATGGTAACACCTACCTGAAATTTTGGCAAATACCAACATTCGCTGCTATGCCGACATAATTTACTATTTCCCTCAATATCGCACACGGCCATAGTAGTATTTGCTTTTGCCACTCTTTTCTTAAATTCACAAAAAAAAAATCTTTGTATTTACAACCACAATTAAGCAAAATTTTACATTTCGTTCATAGCAACATATTAAATTATTACTCGGGCTTGTTTGATTATTAAATATAAATATATATTAGAAAAACGATGTCTTTAACTTCAATGTAGATAACGAGTTTCGTGTCTGCTACGTTTATGTACTTCTTTAATTTGAATTTAGAAGACGAGTTTCGTACCTTCTATGTTATGACAGCAACAATAACATGTCTCTTAAAATATTTCATAATATTAAGAAAGAAGGCTTAATATAGAAATTAAACTGTCAAATATTTTTTTGGTGTATATATAAAAATAAAACAACAACTTTATAGATATTTTTATGAAAATTTTTATAACGATTTCAATATTTAATATTATAAGCGCATTGAAACTATAACTTAATGACATATTAATTAAATTTGTTCCATTTTCATTTATTTCTGGCGTAATCTTGCCGGTATATTTACTGTCAAACTTAGCCATATACAGCAGCTTAGATCAACTCGTGTTTGTAAATTAAAAATAAAATTGAATGAGAAGAATTTATATATAGCTTACTTAAATATTTAGAGTAAATTGTTTAAAATGTCTGGTGTTTTATTTGAGGATATTTTTAACGTGAAAGATATGGATCCAGAAGGCAAAAAATTCGACCGCGTTTCGCGTCTGCATTGTGAATCGGAGTCATTTAAAATGGATTTGATTCTAGATATTAATTCATGGCTGTATCCAATGGAATTGGGTGATAAATTTCGTTTAGTGCTAGCTACAACATTACGAGAAGACGGCTGTCCAGACAGCGGTGAATATAATCCTTTAGATACAGAAGGCACGAGGGCAGATACCTTTGAATACGTCATGTTTGGCAAAGTTTATAGAATCGAAGGTGACGAGGCGCATAATGAGGCATCTTCACGATTGTCCGCCTTTGTGTCATTTGGTGGACTCCTAATGCGTTTACAAGGCGATGCAAACAATCTGCATGGCTTCGAAGTTGATCAGCAAATGTATTTGCTAATGAAAAAATTAGCGTTTTAAGTTATTTTTTAATATGTGAATAAGTTAAATTTTTTTTTTTTGGATAAATGTTGCAAAATATAGAATTAGGGCTTTGTAAAATAGCAGACATTAATTCGATGTATCAAATTTATACTAAAAATGTGTAGTTTTTATATTAAATAATTGATAATTTTATTTTTTAATTAAATTTGTTCATCTTCAGATGAAAACATATTAAAAAAATTTTTAACAATAAAATGTATTTGTAAGAAAGTAATTTAAAAATTAAGATACGTCAAAAGTCAAGATTAAGCAAGTTTTATTTAGACCTATCATCCCAGTTATTAAATGATACTATTTTGTAAAAAATTACTTTCGAAAAATTGAACTTAAAGGAAATAGACTCCTAAGTAGTGAAAAGATTCCAAGCAAAGGAAGTCTGGGAATCTCCTTCAAAAATACAGGGAAAGAAGTGAAGTAAATAATCAAAAGACTTAACATCTATAAAGTAAATATATATAAGCCTTTAGGATACAAATAACTTTCAAAAAATATTTATTTATTTGTCGTACAAGCAAAATATATCAACATTTGAAAATGTATTGTATTTAATCAGGATATCGCAGCATGGCATACAAGTCATTCAACGTAGCGTCGTAAGAAAGGATTGGAAACTTGTCAAGAGTGTAAGCGACAGTGTACTTTAGGTGGCAAAAATAATTCCGATACTTTCTTTTTGAATCAACATATATACATATATCAAAAATTAAATATTTAAAATTTACTTTGCGCTTACTGTTAGAGGGATTGTGGTCATATATGGTACGAGATTTATATTTCAACACATTTCTTTATTCATATACTGTGAAGCATTCGTTTTTCTTTTCTTATTAAAATAATGCTTCTTAAACTTGTCCATATAACTTAAGTATTTCCTTACACCTCCAAAAACAACTCGTTTTGTTTTGATTGAAGCGAACGCAGCTTAGAAGACCCTCTGCTTCAGACAATTATTTAAGATTTATGTGAACACAAACATGTTTCAATAAAACTAATTACAATTAAAAATAATTTTTAATTTAAACGAAATTTATTTAGTAAAATTGTTCATTTATATAGCAACTTTTATAATAACAATTAAATTACTTTAGTTATAATGTTTACGTGGTTTGTAAGACATATGATATGGAGAGTTGTAATTTGGAGAGGTTGGGAATCTCGGATTTTCACGCTCTTTATTATTGCGTTCTTTTCCTACTTGGCGTTCCACCTCGCTTGGTTTGTAATTTGGAGAGATTGGGAATCTCGGATTTTCACGCTCTTTATTATTGCGTTCTTTTCCTACTTGGCGTTCCACCTCGCGTTGTTTTTTACGATTTGTCTGTTTTTCTATGATTTTATTGGATATATTAATAAGTTTATCCAACTTTGTGTGTACACTTAGAAGAGAAGATTTCATTGGTCTATCAACAAACTCCTTTGCCGTCATATCCTGAAAACGAACCATTGAAATCATGCGATCAATTATTATTTGATTCTTATCTTTTCTCTCTGGTATAAGATTCTTTTCTACATAATTCTCAATGATTACAAAAAGATCAAATGCAGATAAATTCTTATAAATTTTTGTGAGAAGTAATACAAATCTTGGCGCACGCAAATTATAAATATCAGAACATAGCTTCAATGCAGTGCATTCCATGTTGAATTCAGTGAGATTAATTTTTTCATAAAAATTTGGCAAAAGTGGAGATCCAAAAATTGCCACTAGTTCGGGTATTGTAACTTTAAATGGAAGGTTGTCATTTATAAATTGATGGCAAATATCATTCAACATGCGAATCATATATTTGTCACTTAGATATATTAGCTGAAGCAGCTCTTTTATACTTTTTTCAAATGGTATAACGTTGAAATATATGAAATTCACAAAATATTGAAATGCAATTGGCTGAACATCGTCTAATATAATTTCACAATTTTGTTTTGATTCTAAATAATTCCCACTGAACATTGAGCTAAAGACATCCGAGCATTGCGAAAGCACTTTCTTATGACATGATATACGCTTTATTTCACCAGTTGCTTTTCCAACTATAAAATGGCAATCAGGCACATTTTCTGGATCTGATATGAACTCTAATCGCTGTAGTTCTCTAAAATTAAATAAATTATTTAATAAATACCTTTACGTATACATTATTTCCACATAATATATTGTTTAACATTTATATGTTTAAATAATGAAAAACATTTTAATAAATGTAAAACATTTGTATTTATTTTATTAAAAACTCACGAAAGATCTTCCCATTTCTCAAATTTGCTTACAGACATCGTCACAGATAATATTTTTAATTATTTCTTCAACCAAAATTTTGCGTCTGTTTTCCATTAACTCCAAAGATAAAAGCACCATTTTATATATACGTTAAGTTTAAAACCACCGACTATCAATGAATCCAGTGCTGTAAAGGTGCATTGTCAATTTTGATCGTATATTACTTTTGACAGTGTCATATTGCTATTTTGGCCGTGTGTGAGTTCGAGTAAATTGAGGGAAATAGTAAATTATGTCGGTATGGCAGCGAATGTTGGTATATACCAGAATTTTGATTTGGGTAAATTAGATAAATTAACTGTTTCCATTGTGAAAATTCTATTAGATGTTTAATAAATAAATAAATAAATTTGAAAACTTTTAACCAAAAATGTTTACACAAATGCAGTGCAAAAAATTAAAATTAAATTTTAATTTACTTTACCTCAATTTGCTCGAACTCGCAAACGGCCTTAATGTTTTACTTGTTAAAATGTAACAATTACGAATAAAACTTATAAAACAGATTTAAAGTATGTTCTCCTTGACTTCATTAAAAGAGTTTATTTGATTTGGGTAGCTAATCAAGTTGATTTACTGTGTACAAAATTTTAGTGCAAATTAACTTAGTTAAAAATAAATTAAATGAAATTATACTAAAAACGTGGAAAGCAACATTGGAAAATACATTTCCCAAAAGCGAAACGATCGGAATTTGACGTGTTTGACGCATTATTACCTTTTTATTAATTTAATTTATTTACTTATTCAGTTAATTTATTCTTAACTAGGGGTAAGAATTTTTTAAAATGGTTTTTTTTATAAATAGAATATATGCTTCATATATAGAAATAAATAAATGATTTTATATATTTGATATTATTATACAATATTATATACCATTTAAGAAAAAGTAAATGAATACTTTTGAATATCACCTGAAATGTAAATAAAAAATAGCTCTCCTCGAATTTTTACAGAACTTTCTGACACATCAAGTTTTTTTACAATGATAAATCAACTTATGACAATGAAAACGATCAAACCTTAATTTAATTAATATAAGTTGATTTAACTGCGGCACGGCTTCACGTATGTCAAAAAATATTTGTTTTTTCTATGAAAACTTTGTACAAAAATTAAATACAAATTGAGTTTAGCTCACTATGAAGCGCTTTAATAAACTGCTTTCGGATTTATTGCTTTTTGAGTACAGCACGCACTTCAGCATAAGAATGCAAAAAAAGAAATATGATCTTATGCTGATGTAGTGTCCAGAAATCGATTACATATTATATTTTATTATTAATATTTCACAATTAATATATTCAAATAAGTATGATTATATTAAAAAAATTAACTATTTGCTGACTACTGGCAAATCTATCAGTTTTCTCATATCAAAAGAAATCATCATTTCAAATAACCATATATTAATAAATTTATTTAATTATTTAATATAATTTATTTAATTAATAATATTAAACAGCAATCCCTGACAAAAGTGCCTATTATGAATTGTCTATCGCTGATAGACAGTAGAAAAATTTCTACTGCTGATAGACAAAATCAAATTTTGGTATTATGAAGTGCAAACCGATAGAAGTTTTTCTATCAGCGGTAGACAAATTTCTCTACTGCATTTGAGCAGTAGAAGTTTGTCGATCGTATAAAATATATGCTGTTAAAACGCTTTATATAGTCAATTTAACATATAAATTTAATATAACTTAAATATTACTAATTTAATAGTTAGTAATAATTCATTTAGATTTAATATAATATAATATATATTTAATATATTTGATTTCAAGTGTAGTGTTATATGTATATTGAGAATAATGATTGTTGCATTTTTGTTTTGTTTTGTTAAATTTTTATGTGTATTTATTCAAATATTTTCAACATACGCAAGCATTTTTCAAATTTCTTAGATATATTTTTCAACGAATAATGTATTTACATAAAACTAAGATATAATAAAATTAATAAATTTTGTTGTAGGGAAAAATTGAGGAGCAATAAAATGCAGATAGCAAAACTTGTTGCAAATATTGGAAAAAATATTGTTGCAAATATGGAAAATAGAAAGGCATTTGCAAAAAGACACATTCCAGACCAATGTGGGACAAAATTATGATTGAGCTTAATAGTCTAGGGGCCTAGAAAATATCGAAAACATTTCAGTGAAGGGAGGCAAGAGTATTGTGATCAAAAACTTACTGTAATACAAGAAAAATTAAAATTGGCTATGGAAAACACCGACAAAAGATATAAATATCGGTCCTTTAAGCTTCAACTGCTTAAAAAAGATATGAATATTACTAATTTAATTTAATGTAATATATATATAATGTAAATATAACTATATATTATAAAAATATTAAAATTAATATATACATAAACATATTTATTTTTAGAATATTTAAGTTTAAGTTTAATATATTACTTTAGTTTATTAATGTAATGTAATATTAAATAATAAATTCGTATTAAGAAAATATATTTTTATTTATTTTAAAAAGAATTTGAATTCAATTTTAATGTTTCTTAGTGAACACAATACAAACAAAATAAGTTCAATTAAAGCTGGGCGCTCTAAAACCCTTACATCATTCACAATAGTGCAAATGTTTGTCTATCAAGTTTCATAATACCAAATTTGCCTACCAATCGACTCGGTAGACAAATGTCTATTGTCTATCGGTAGACATTTCATAATAGCCACCAAAGTAAATCTGGAGTTCTTTTTTAATCGAGATTTACTTTTCGTGCTATTTTCATTTTCCATTGGTAAATCTCGAGCGAAATGTCTACAACTAAGGATCAATTTATAACACTCTTGATATTGTGCCAGAGTAGTAAGATTACCCCTGTTGTGAGTTATATAGCTAACTACATATTTTTAAATTTATTTAATTCAAAAATTTATAACTAACTTATAACTAATAACAATTTTACATATTCTAAAATGATTTTTGTATCGGAAAAAAGACAACTTTTATTTGTGTACGATATTAGTTGATCGTACATTTTCCTAAAAGTAGGCAAAGTTATTTGAATCGCGGCAAATATTAGCTGAACCAAAAACATCAGTCCGTCAGTTCAACGGTAAGAAATGCTGATTTTTGGTATTTGGTGAATTAATTGTGTCATGATGTAAATGACTTTAAAAAACTATGAATAGGAAAAAGTTAAAAAATTTCTAGAGCAATTTTTATGAAAATTTTGCGAATTACGCAAATAATAATTATGAAATAATTGTAAATCTTAATGAGGTAAATGGGGCATCTCTAAGGTAACGATATAGTCAAACGTTGGGTAAGATATTCTTAAGAAAGAGTCTTTTTTTGGAAGTGTTGGTTTTTAGAGTTTTCAACTATAAAGTTCGGATGTGTAAGCTTTTTTGGAGTTGTAATAATGAAGTCTTATAAGAAAGTGTTAAAAGATCGTAATATAATAAAAAGTCCTGACTAAAGGTTAAAAAAAAAGAAACGGACTAAGTTTTCGTGACAATAATAATTTATTAATTTATTGTCATATATTGTCATTAATTTACTTAAAAAATAAATTTAATATGATTTGGTGAAATTGAGAACATCTAACCAGGAATATTAAAGAAAGTACATTCATTCAATTAATAATTAAACTTATTAAGAATTTATAAAATTAATAAAATAAGTGAATAAATATTAAAAAAAATCGAAAAATATTATACTTTTATAGGCATTAGTTCTGTTAACTGATTGTTGGCGAATATGGAAGAATAACAATTGAGGGGATATAATTATGTTGGTAGTACGGCAGACAATAACCCAAATTTTTCAACAAACAAAAATTGGCAACAATTACGTAACCGATACATCTCTTCTCTCCTGTGCAATAACAACCCAACACTACACTATGAAATTAACAGCTGTTTTTAATGACTTAGCAGAAGAAGTACGATTTGATTCGACATATTTATGAAATATAAAAATGCCTATCAATACAATTATAATAATATTATATTACTCTAAAAACGTTTGGATTTGCCAATAAAATTGAACAAATTGAGAGTAAATCTAGATTAAATCCAGATGTAACTAATACGGCATTTATATTGTAAGATTAAAAATAGATAAAAGCAACAATCGAGATTAAAGTACTAACCTCGTAGTTTAATCTCAGATTTCCTATACAAAAGTTAATCTTCTTTTGGTCGAGTTAATTATAAATCTCCTTCGAAATGGTGATTATATTTCTGTACAACTCTGCAAATGTTTTAATATCGTAGATTTTTTTACAATCTTAGAATAATTAAAAAAGAAATGCCAAAATTTATTCAAAACATATATAACATTGAAAGTTTGAGAATTCCGAAGTGAGTGCATTTCTATTAAATTTGTTTAATAACAGTTTTATAGATAATTATAACTAAAATTGGTTAAATTTTTGTTATAAAACTATTTATTAAATATATATTATAATTTTTTTTTGTAAAAAGTTGTTATTAAATACTTTATTTGCAAAATCACCGATTGTCAGAACACGTATTCTATATACAGTTTTATAATTTTTTCCTAAAATTGGACTCTGGAGAAATTTCTTCAAAGAAGAACTCTTAAAAGTTTTGGAGTCATTACATCTGCCCCAACATTGATATATAATGAGGTGTTCACACTGGTAGAAAAAGGCTTATTTCGTATGAGCAATTTGAAAGTGTTTACATTCGTTGTAATTCATTTGTTGTCATTGCACAGCTGATTTTAATACTTGCCTGTTGATTTGATTTTTGATCTGTGCCAAAAAAATCTTGCATGAAGGATAAATACACCTTCAAACCTTACAATATAAACTGAAAACAAATTTTTCACTTCGATTAAGTACCTTTTTAAGTAAAAGTTGTAAAAAGAGGTGCATCGTTTTCAAGAAATGCAACCACCAAACATTTGTTTACCTTTTTTTTATAAATATGCTTTCTCATATTGCTGCCAGCTTCCTCAAACTGTCAAAATGCCATGAAAAGCTTTTATTTAGGGTAAGTTCAATAAATTCGTCTGAATTTGGAACTTATTCTAACCTCGTTGCAAGTCATTTCTGCAGAATGCGATTCAATCTCATTTGCGTTTGAGATTTTGTATGCAAAAATTAGTCATTTGCTTTTAATTTTTGATTTTTGACTTAAATGAGCCATTTGAGGGCAGTGTAAATGCAGTATAAATCTATATCTGAACTCAGAAATGATGTGCACAATTATTAATTTATATTGATCATGTTCTTTACCTGTAATCAACGAAAGCTAAAAGGACAACTGAATATCACCCTTTGTAGTTGAAATAGTCCGTGGCATCTGCAGCAGCGGGTTTCACTTCTATATGACATCTATCTAAATATGAGAAAATTTAATTATGATAACTTTTATTTATAATCTGTAAACGTTCCTATAGCTTTCATACATTGAGGGAATCCAATTTTCTCATATCTTTCCTATAACACAATTGTACAATTATTAAATATACAAAAATTGCTTGTAGATATAGGTCGTGTGCGAGTTAGGCTAAGTTGCGTTCTAAATGAGGGAAATTCTAAGTTGTGTCGATAATGTATTGATGTGTCGATACGTGTTGATAAATGGCAAAATGTGTGCAGTGCAAATCCCAAAAAATCTCCCATTTGGTTTAGCATCAACTTAGCCTAACCCGCACACGTCCATAATACCTATTTCCAAAATCTTCGTGTTTCCTTTTTAATTAAAAATGTCAGTAAAGTATTTAATGTTTTTGTATAAGAATACATAGATTCAGTATAGGCAGGCGGCGTTTTATTTTAAAACTATGCAACAATTTTTTTTTCTCTACCCAACTTGAATTTAAGCTTATAATTAAAGCAATAATTTCCTCTTTAGAAAAATTTTTAATTAAAACACTATTTCCACTCATTTTTTACTACTATTTGCTATTGAAACTTTTATCAAACACACGAAATAAAACACAACAAGAGAAATGTCATAATGAATCTCCAATATATAATGTTAACGGTGGAGATTAAAAATATAGATTAACTCAATCTCGTTCTCTTAATCTCACGTCCAACAATGTCGGAAAATGTGAATAAATTCTGCTTTTTACTTTTTTTTGGCATTGTAAAAATTATGCATAACGAGTCTGAGTTATAATTAACAAGTAAATAAATACGAAAACAAAAATCAGCTGTTCTAAATATTTTCAAAACTAATATGCACAAAATGTATTTACGATTATATGAGTTTGGAATGATGCACATTCAACGATGCACAGACATCCTGAACACTAACATACTACAACGATGTTTTCTACTCCTATATTTACAATTTCAATTACAACAACCCTGTTTTAATCTATCATATGGGAAACAAATTGAAAATTATTATGAAATGTCAACAACAGTTTCTTTTCTATAGTGATAGCAACGGGACGTGCCATGTTATTCGATGTTAAAAAAAAAATTTAAAGCGCGTGAACATTACGATTTATATATTAATAAATTGTTAACAACTGTTATATTCTAATAAAATTGATTTCACTTGATCTATTAGGTGTTAACTAATTAAATGAACACTAATATGGTGAATATTAAGTGTGAAAAAGAGTTTGGCGAAGGTCAAACTACCGCTCTTACAGTAGATTTATTGGTTGCTAATAAAGCAACTCCAAAGAAAAACTCAGTGGTAGTGGACGTTATAGATTTACTCAGTGATGATGAAGATATTGAAGGGGATAACAAAAATATTACACCAAAAAAAGAATTAAGTAAAAAAGACCTTGAATATGGTACTGAATATTTCGCAGAGACCGTTTTACCAAAAGAAACTTTAGAAGCAGAAGAAGAAGAATTTAGAAGCAATACTAGCAGTCCATTGCTTTTTCTTGAAGTTCCAGACTGCGACAGTGCAGGAAACATAGTGAACGGATTCGTATCGGTCGGAGATGAAGACACTATGCCTTTTCTAGAAACCGACAATGCAGTCACTAATAATAATATAATTATACACACACCTATTAAAGTGGAGGTTTTAGATGAATTGAAAACCGAACCTAAAAAAACTATATCTTTTCTAGAAACCGACAATGCAGTCACTAATAATAATATTATTATACACACACCTATCAAAGTGGAGGTTTTAGATGAAGTAAAAACCGAACCAATGGATCTTTCAACACAAAATTCCGCAAGAGATTTCAATGCAATTGAATTATGTGTAGATGATATCATTGACTTAGATGATAACTCTGATGAAGAAGTGGATCAGGACACGAAAGCTACCATTGTTAATTTAATTGTGTCAGATGATGAAGCTAACATGGATTCTAATGCATTGAATTGTAATGATTCCAAGCATACTCTTTGCCATTACATGTGCCCCGAATGTGATGCTTTTTGTGGTTCTTTGCAGAAATGGAAAGCACATACAGATATGATACATAAATTTAAAGATATTGAGAAACTTAACCTGCGTACAATTATCAGCAAAGAGGGCGATTTACGACATCAGTGTACAGAGTGTAATAAAAAGTTTAAAGTACGAGGAGTATTAAAAAAGTTTATAACTCATCGCATTTCGCACCTAAAATATAAAAACTATTTGAAATGTCGTCTGTGCCCATTGCGTTTCACAAACGCACGGGGTTTAAATGGGCATTTGAAAAAAAATCATGAAAAAATCTTTAAGTACTACCAAAAGCTAACTGAAACCAATTCCTTTCTAAATTTCTTATGCCCCGTGTGTAGGAAATTGTTTAACACTCGATCAACTATGATAAATCATCTCAATGTAACGCATGATTATAAAAATGTGAGATATAAGGAATTGTATATGACTGGTGAGAATAACGTTAACGTCTGTAAGCTTTGTAAAATGGATATTTCAAATAAATCCCTTCTAAATCATACTTTGATGCATGAACAACAACACGCTTTTCAGTGCAAAATATGCAACGAATTCACAGAAAAAAGCTCTAATGCTTGCTTGCAACATGTCAGTAAGATTCATAAGGTGGTTCTACAAAGGTCTAGCAAATGTCCTTATTGTGATAAAGTCTATAGGAACTCAAGCATGGTGTGGGAGCATTTGCAAGAAACTCATGGCGCCACAACAGTCGAATGCAAAATCTGTAAAAAAACATTCAGATCTTCAGAACAATTATGGTTACATATACAAAGACTAAATCATTTGAAACTGAAATAAGCAGATTCCTCTGCAAGTATGTAAATATTTTTTAATTTTTTGGTTTAAATGTAGTTAATTCTAATTTTTTTCATTTTCAGTTAATAGCATTCTTTGAACTATTAAATAAAATTTGAAATTAAATTTGAGATAAAACATATTTGAACACAAATATGAATACTTCTTTCACTATTATTATGAAAAAATATGAAATTTAATATATAAATGTCTTATATATAATATTTAGAGACATTTCAAAATAATTTAAGTTTCATAAACTTATTAATTAACAATAAAAATTTAAAATTAGAGCTTGATTTTATATGAGTATAATTTTACTATTAAATATTTCACTTGAAATTTGAAATTTTTAGAATTTAATTTTTAAATTATTTTCCAAAGCCATAAATGAAATATTATCAAGTTATTAAAATGGTTTTGATTAAATTAAAATTCAAAATTTTCGGAATTGAATTTTTAAAGTATTATATTTAGTCATAAATGAAACATTATCAGAAATCTTTGAAAAGGTTTTTAATTAATTTGCTTTTATGTTAAAAGTTTATATGAAATAAGAAATAAGAATATTTTTTGCAAATTCGAAGCTAATTAATATTAATTTAAATGAAAAGACAAGTCATTGTATTATACATACTTGTAAAATATAAGGATAGTGCTATAAACTTTAAGTTTAATGTAAAATTAATCAATTGAAAACGTATGGAAAATATGTAACTTTACTTACAAATCATTTTTTAACTTAATTAAAAGATTATTACTTTTTAAGAAATTATATTCTTACCATTATTCAAATACTCTTCTATATAGGCTTAAAAAAAAAGATGTGTACAAATAAAGTAATTGTTTTAAAAACAATTTAAAAAAATTAGAAATATATTTTTCTAAGTAATAAATATATATAAGTTAATATAAGGAATATTTTTGTACCTAATTTATAATTAAATGAACAAATGAATATAGTTAATTTAATTAGTACTGTAAAACAAGATTAAGCAAATTAATTATAAGTTAAACAATTTTATTTCTTTTTAATTCATTATAAAATAGTTTTTTCTTTATAAGTTCTTATAAAAAATGAAAAGCAGTGTACAAATAACTATAGAATAAGTATTTGAGTAGTTTGATTTAGAAGAAATATTCTGTATTTTATAAGTTACAATGAATTTAAAATTAAATAATGCTGATTGAAACTTAATAATAATAATTTTCATTTTAAATTTTTGTTTGTTTACGTCATCAAAACGTAAGGGACTACTTATATTGAAATTTCATAATTGATCCATATACAATAATTATCGACATAACAGTACTTGAATTTGATCTCCAATTAATATTGCAAATGTTTAGCGTTAAAGCAATATTCAAAGCATTATTACAAAGTAATTCATAAAATTATATCAAGTTTATACCTTATATCAATATACCTTTAATAAAAAAAAAAACGAAATATGTTTATATATACAAAAGACTTTTTTAGATTCTATTAAGTTCCGAACAAAGCAACTAAGTTGAAATATAAGTAGTCTGCAATCTGACACATTGATAAGAGTGTAAAATATAATTAAATATGCAAATTTTGTTTAGACTATACAGATACATATATTTATTGCTCAACCTGAAAGCGAAAGCAAATAATGCTTAGGAGACATTTTTCTTTGGGCTGTTATCAATATATAAAAGTGAGTATATGTTATATTATTTATGTTTATATTTAGTAAAATGAATTTCCGCTCAAGTAAATAAATTGCAATGATTTTGTTTAAAATATAAGCTGTGACTAAAAACTAAAGTGAATAAATATAATTTTATAACTAATCATTATCTTTAAAAATGAACTAAACTGTAAATTTTAAAACTTTGTTATGTGGATTTATTAGCTTAAGTTTAATTTTACTTTGTATTAAACAAAATAAAAAACAAAATGTAATATTACAGTTTTTGCTTAGGAATTTATTCTACACACAAAGTAACACTTCCTGTTTACACATTTTTGAGTGCATCGAAGCTAACTTAATGTTTATGCTGATTCAGCAACGACCACCATAGTCAAGCCTTATTTGTTTACTCGATTAACAATATTGCGCATTATGATTCCGCTTATAGAAATCAACTTAGATACGACAAACACCATCACACTTATCTTAAGAATGCAATTCTCAGCATAACTGGCATGGTTCGGTTAGTTTTTGTTGGAACTCATAGTTCAGTTCTAGTCAAGCTAACAAGCGAACTGGTCTTAGTTCTCAATTTATAATTTACTTAAAGTTCTAAGAACAGGCGAGTCTACATCAGCAGTCCCAAAAGGAACCACGCTAGCAAATCTTTGTGGACTACAACAATAATATAAAACCTAAATTATACAAGAAGAATGTTGACATTAATTTCTATATAATTAATAAACAAATTTCAAATTAATTTTTGATTTTAAAATTGTAAACAAAAATCAAATAACTGTTGAAATATGATTCATGTGTTTATTTATTAAGAACTATAAACTGTTCTGGAGAAAAAAACAATACACTAACAAAACAGCACCACTTCACGCTACTAATTTATCGTCAATGGACAATCACACAAACTTGAACAAACAAATAAAAATTTAATTATTTAAATATAAAAATTTTATTGTTGCAATTCATATCTTTTCAGAAATAAGTTTCTTTGTCATAATTGACTTTAAAATAATAAATTAAATTATGCTAGCGGCAAAATAATAAAGGCTCGTGTGTACTAAGTGGATTACCACTTGAGGACTTAACATATTATGAACGATCCTTTATTTTGCTTCACGCTATACGCTTCAATTGTTTACTCATTAAAGTGCTACATGAGTTATACATGCAACCACATAAATTCCTGGTAATTATAAATATAGTATTATGGACAATAAAGTTGATCCTTTATAAAAATAAACATTTCTTATGCCTCATAGTATTGAATGCTTTTAAAATAGTTCGTGACATTTTCTGTATCAAAGATACACACATTGTATAATAAAGCGCAACAGCATTTAATAAAATAATAAATGTTTTTGAAACGCAACAAATATATTTCTTTCACAAATTTAAATATTTAAATTCGAACATAAAAGAAACATTAAACTCTATCGGGAATTCTTCGATGATGATGCATACAAGTATTATTGGTATAAAGTCACGTTCACCCAATTACAGATCCCAGCATGAAATGTGTTTACGCGGCTCTTAAGATTTTAGAAGCGTCAATCCTAAAGGATAATTAAATAGACACTTAAATTGAAAATATAACAACAATTCTGTTTGGTTAATCCAATCTAGATAAAGGCATTAAGCTGAATGGTACATTTATAAACAATATTAGGTGCGCATACGGAGACAACACAGCACTTACAGCTTATAGTATAGCTGATCTTCAACTTCTTCTTGAAAAATTTAATGAGAAGAGTACAGATTTTGGCCTATCCATGAATATAAAAAAAAACCAAGTATATGATCATCAGTCAAAAACGACTACTATACAACGATACTCCCATTAAGATAGTCCCATCAGTAGATCAGTATACCAGTAGATACTCCCACCAGTAAAAAGCGACTACCATACAACGATACTCCCATTAAAATTGGAACTGAAGTTATTGAACGAGTTAAATATCTTTGTTTACTGGCTAAATGTAAAGTGGACATCAGATCAACAACTTGATATGTTTGTTTATAGTTTTTTACATCAAGTATTTCAATATTTTGTAATGTAGATTTTAAATTAAATGTTGTGGAACTTTTCAATTTCAAAACATTCGAAGCAAATTATTTTTAATTGTCGCTTTTCATAATTATTATCGCATGTACAACGAATAGGAATCTCAAAAATATCAACATATTCAATTGTGAGATGACGATAAAGTGTATGATTTGCATTTATTATACCACACGGTTTGGTTTCCTTAGTAAAAAGTTTCAGTCGAAATGATTCAATAGCTTCAACAACTGTGAAATATTTTGGGAAGCCGCTTTCAGTTGTACACATACAATCAAAACTACAGATAATGAATAGTTTAAAAGTCTACGAAACTCGATTTGGAAAACATTATGAAAATTACGAATGGTCAGGTCAAATGAAAATACTACCAGACACCTACAGCTGTTCATATCTAAGGCAAATAGAGGAAGAAGAAGCAAGGAAACTTATGTAGTTTTATAATAATATCAACTATGCTCTATTATTAAATGTAGAAATTACACATTTGAGTATAACAAATATAAATATATACTTGTTATATATAAAATATATATATAAAATAAAAAAATTTATATTTTATAAAATATATATATTTTCGGATCTATTCTGTGCACTTTATAAACTTGTCAAACATTGACACTTGTCAAAATTGGCTGCTGTAAAGGTTTTGGTATTCTGTGACATAAATAAAAAGCTCTTTTCCTTGTTAGTTATCAAAACTAAAAATGCTGTTGACAAATATAAAAATATGCTCTTTTTAAGCATTTTTTATTTTTTGCATGCATGAAAAATATTGTTAACTAAAATATACGCTCTTTACTCTTTACAAGCATATTTTTTATTGTTATTTGAATGCATGAAAAATGCTTTTGGCAACTTAAAATATGTGCTCTTTACAAGCATTTTTTACGAACAGTTACGAACAATTACGAACAGTTTTCTATACAAAATACTTTACACCATAGTGTGGTGAGAAGCACTAGGTACTTGAGCTTTGAAATTTGTCAAGATGTGTCCAGAATACCAAATTTTATTAAAGAATTTGACAAATCTGTCAAGGGCACAGAATAGGTCCGTTTATATATATATATAAGATGTATATATACAATATATACTCGTACTTATGTATATTATTTATCCAAAATAAAATATTATTAAAAATAATTGAAATTACGTATTTTTGTTTTATTTAATCGGGAAAACCACTACATTCCATACAATGTGTATTAATAAATTACATGTTGTTGTTCCTTACTTAATATAAATAATATAATAATATAAATTAACTATGTAAAAAGCTTTGACTTTTCTTATCGCATACCCTTTCATTTACACAATATCTAAGAAAAATAAAAAAAAATACTTTTATCAATACCACAAAGAACCGCAAACAACCGCAAAGAATGTTGCAAAATCTTGAATCAGTTCATGTGTTTATCGAAAATATTT